CTTCGTCGCCAACTCTCGCAATTTAAGCTGGACAACTCGGTGCTGTACCGCAAAATTTACCATCCTGACGGTCAGCGCTGGGTTCCCGTTCTACCCCGATTGCTTCGGCCCGAAGTCCTCGGAGCGCTTCGTGACCATCCGACTGCTGGTCACCTTGGTTAACATAAAACCTACGATCGCCTTCGAAGTCGGTTTTATTGGCCAGGCATTACCACTAGTGTAGCTCGGTATGTCGGGTCCTGCACTACCTGCTAATGTGGAAAACTACCAACATCTGCTCCAGCCGGTACACTACAGCCTCTTCCGTGCCCAGTCACACCATTCGAAGTTGTAGACGTCGATCGTTAAGGCCCCTTTCCAGTCAGTGCTGCTGGAAACCGGTGGATAGTAACAGCCGTTGACCATCTGACGCGCTACACCGAGACGGCATCCGTCACTACTGGTTCAGCTTCTGAAATTGCCGATTTCATCCTCCGAGCCATTATACTGCGTCATGGTGCTCCACGTGTATTGCTCGATGACTGTGGAAGGGCCTTAGTGCAGAAGACCGAGGCCCAAAATACATATCGTGAAGCAGGAAGATCAGAAGAGAAGACCAGCGCCAACTACTAACTGTTTAATGACTGTCTAGGAAACGCACAGGAAAGAGGACAAGACCGCGCATGCGTGCACAGCCAACAAACATCGCACAGCGTCATGGTCAAGGCACTAAGTTACCCAAAAATTGCATTTCTGTTGAGTACAACACAATAGATGTATCACTGATACAATCGGGCCCTTTCTTTTTGATAAAATAGGCTTCCAAGAGCTCTATAGCTGTTGTTTTTGCTCCTACCAAGAATCACCGTTTTTTGAAACAATGGCACACATCCGCAGGCTTTACAGTGCGCTGGAAGATGCGCATGCTCACTTTTGCCTAAACTATTGGCATGCTCCCTCAGTCTATCATTAATGCAACGCCCCGTTTGACCGATATAGAACTTGCCACAGCCTAGGGGAGTCCCATATACCATGCCTTGTGCGCAGCGCCTAAAAAGTCTCATGTGCTGCTTCTGGCAGCCCCTTCGCTCATCGCATGTGATACGTGGCACAATTGAGCAAGTTTGTTGGGAGCTGAAAAGACGACCGGAATGCTGTAACGGCAAGCCACCTTCTTGAGTTTATGGCTTACACGGTGTATATACGGGACCACCTCAGGCAAAACCCGCTCTCTCTCCTTCGGGCGCACATTTGCATTAGGTACTCTGCCTTTCACCCTCTGCTGCAGGGATTCCACCACGGAACTAGGCCATCTACACACAAGGCTGCCCCAAAAGCTGATTCTGGGCGACAAGTGTGTGTGTTGCAACGTGTAGTGACTTATTTTAAAGGCAATGAACTGTCTAATGCTTTCATATAAGGTGGGTTTGTGGCGTTGTCCAGGAACTCCTATAATGAAAAAGCAAGAGAAGCCATCAACAGGAACTTCAAGCCCGTAAAAGTGAGGCTATCTAAAGTCAAGAGAAATGTTGTTTCTTTGTGTGAAGAAATTGGGTGCGAATCTTTGGCTAAACAGATAAGCAGGAGCAAAAAGGGTTCCCTTACTGCTTTCTTCAGTGCTAAGACGAATAAGATTGACGTACCTTTCCGCACCATCATTAGTGAGCGTGGAACTTGGCAATATCAGGGTAGCAATTTTTTGCTCAAAGCCCTAAAACTTGAAGTTCATGACCCTTCCTTGACAAAAAATTCTGATGAAGTATTTGGGTTTTTCCGCGGAAACCATGAAATAGGCAACCTTTTTTTCGTAGGTGTAAGCGACCTTTTTTTACTCGGTTCCGCATCTGGAGCTTCTTCGGGCAGTTAAGCAGTGTATAAATGATAGTGCCGAAGCCACCTTTGTGTCCAAAATGGAGATGTCGTCTGCTAATTTTGTTACCCTCTTAGAAGCATATCTCAACCACACTTTTGTTTCTTTTGAATATGGCATATTTTTACAGAGGAAGGGCATTTGCATTGGGTCACGGATAGCACCGATTTTGTGACGTCTTTTTATCATCCTTTGACCACGCACTACAAAGTGTTTTTACTTCATCTCATCCAAATGTTCTTAAAGTATTTAGATATGTAGATGATTTTTTAGTTGTTATTGACAATAGATGCCCTTTTCCTTTCCCTGTGTTGGTTGAGCAGGTTTTAGATGTTTTTAGAGCAAGTGCTAAGGGGCTGATGTTCACTAATGAACTTCCTGAAGATAGCTCCTTGCAGTTTTTGGACCTTAACCTGACAATTTAGGCTGGTTACGTATGCTGTGCGTACCTCCCTCAGAGTAAGAAGGAGTTGTTACTTTACGATTCAGCACATTCAAAGACTGTAAAACGCGGAATCGCTCTACTTTGCTTAGAGTTGGCACTACGCAGATCGTGTGAGCATGTTATGCAGGTTAGCTTTATGCGTCAGCTTCAAAGACTTTCCAAGGGTGGCTACCCTCAGTCCGTAGTTAGTTTCGTGGCGGAATCCCAGCTGCAAAGGGTGAAAGGCAGAGTAGCTAATGCAAATGCACGGCTGAAGGAGAGAGTGGGTTAACCCTGAGGTGGTCCCGTATATACACCGTGTGAGCCATAGCCTCGAGAAGGTGGCTTCCCGTTAAGGCGTTCCGGTTGTCTTTTCAGCTCCCAACAAACTTGCTCAATTGTGCCTGCGTATCACATGCGATAAGCAAAGGGGCTGCCAGAAGCAGCACACAAGACTTTTGAGGCACTGCACACAAGGCGTGGTATGTGGGACTCCCCTAGGCTGTGGCAAGTTCTATATCGGTCAAATGAGGCATTGCATTAATGATAGACTGAGGGAGCATGCCAATAGTTTAGGCAAAAGTGAGCATGCGCATCTTCCAGCGCACTGTAAAGCTTGCGGATGTGTGCCATTGTTTGAGAAAACGGTGATTCTTGGTAGGAGCAAAAAACAAACAGCTAGAGAGCTCTTGGAAGCCTATTTTATCAAAAAGAAAGGGCCCGATTGTATCAGTGATATATCTATTGTGTTGTATACTCAACAGAAATGCAGTTTTTGGATAACTTAGTGCCTTGGTCATGACGCTGTGCAATGTTTGTTGGCTGTGCACACATGCGCGGTCTTGTCCTCTTTCCTGTGCGTTTCCTAGACTGTTATTAAACAGTTGGTAGTTGGCGCTGTTCTTTCTTCTCTTCTGATATTCCTGCTTCACGATATGTATTTTGTGCTTCAGTCTTCTGCACCAAGTATGCACCAACTAGCCCAAAAACAAGTCCTTTTTGAAGGGCCTTCCTTTCACAACTAGTGAACGAACTTCTTCACGCCTCTGGCACAACTCACAAGACTGCCTCTAGTTATCCCCAGACTAACGGCCTCGCTGAGCCATTCCACCGCACTCTTGCTGATATGATCGCCGCCTATATGCAACCAGATCACAAGAACTGGGATGTAGTTCTACCATTAGTCACTTTCGCCTACAATATGGCAATTCAGCGGACAACCGGCTACTCACCATTTTACCTAGTTTATGGATGCTCCCCTACTTCTTTCCTGGACGTCTCTTTATTTACCAGCCACGCGAATTCATCTCCATCCTCTTCAGAGGAATATGTTTTACGACTTGCACAGTGCCGCCAACGTGCTCGTATAAATACTGGAGCCTTACAGCAAGAGAGAAAGCTAGTTTATGATGAATCGCTTCGTGCTGTATCCTTTCAGCCTGGAGACGAAGTGCTCCTTTTGACTCCTATTCGCACACCTGGTTTGTGCGACAAATTTCAGCCACGGTTTATCGGGCCGTACACAGTTCTCGAAGAGACTTCACCAGTGATTTATCGCGTGACACCACTTGTAGCCCCAGCAGATCACCGTTATCGAATTACTGAGGTCGTCCATGTCTCCCTTATGAAGCCCTTCATGCGACGTTCTTTGTCCCCTTGACTTGCCGCGGCCAAGCTGGCCGCTTTCATGTGGGGGGGAATTAGTGGGGGCATTTAGTATACCCATCCTCTTCACCTGTACATCATCATCATTATCATGTGTTTCTCATGCAATCTCATTGTTGTCGCGTAGCATCATAATCTTGGTTCATTCATCGTAGCTGTCGGTTGCCGGTTCCTCGGGCCTAGTAAAGGTCTTCCAAACCAAGAACTTCATAACATATATTATCGTCGTGTGTGAGCCTGAGCTCGTCTCGAATAAAGCCGTGCCTCACAATATTCTTATTCACTATAAGCGTACTTAAAAAGTTTCCTCTTGCTCGAGATGCATCACACTCCATGCTTTTATTTCGGGCACAAAGAACGAAAGAGTTTTTATCAAGTGGCCCAGTGCAGCCCTGGTAGATGCACGCCATACACTTCTCTGCATGCTTTATGTAGAAAGGCTGTATTCACGAAAAAGGCTTTCAGTGAACATTTTTAAACACATTATTAGGAAGCTATGTGTTTTAAAAAAATTGCAAGTTTTCTGTCAATTTCTGTCAACTCTGCCATTCGCTTGAAATGATTGTTTGACAGTCGCTATTGTTGATTCACTGCAGAGAAAGTACTGTAGATACATCTTTTGTGGTAATGGAGGACTCTGCTTCATTTTCTTAACATTTGGGTTTTTAGTTTTAAAATGTTCTAAGAATAAGGCACCTTTCTGCATTGGTTATAATCCATATCACAACCTTGTTAGAACATGCCACAGGTGGGAAGTATTACAGTGCATCACGATGCTGGTAAAAGGTTGAAATGACCCGCTAAGGGTTTTTTTTGGTGTGAAATTTTATCCTGGTTTCGCAATTATAAGCACTTTCTCCTTAGAAAAAGAATATTAATCTGCTTTTGTAAAATACTACTCCCAACATATCTCTAGTTATATGAGAAGATAAATTGTTAGATAACACTACAAATGAGCTGTTGTTGTAGTGTGGCATTTTGTTTATTTGCTGTTTTTATGGTCTGCTCAGTATACCTACAGTTTATCTAATCTGTATCAAAAACATTTCCATTATATTTCAGTGCACTTTCGAACAAGAGTGACCTGACCAACCTGAATAAATCTACTGGCAGTGTGAGTTCAAACAAGATTTACCATGGCATTCTGATAAAATCTACCTAGATTGCAACAAATGAGTTCTTGGAATTCGGTGAAACCTACCACAGTCAACAGTGGCCAGGGTGCTCAGCTGCTGACCCGAAGGCCGCGGGTTCGATCCGGGCTATAGCGGTCTCATTTCGATTGAGGTGAAATGTAGAGGCCTATGTACTCTGCGATGTCAGTGTACGTTAAAAAACACCAGATAGTCGAAATTTCCGGGGTCCTCCACTACGGCATCTCTCGTAATTGTATAGTGGTTTTGGGACGTGAAACCAGAGATGATATTGGGAACCTACCATAGTCATTGCAAAATGCATGCTGCCTTGCCACGCAGCCTGACCAGCTTGTTTTCATTAACTATTCTCTTGCTGCCCTGAATATACACTGTGCAAGTGTGTGTGTGTGCCAGCCCAACCACGTACAGCGAAGTGCTTAGGTAGCCTACATGCCCTTTCTTAACTGTGTAACGCCCACTCCTTGTGGTATGTAGTAAGGCATAGCTAACTGGGCTGGTTGCATTCTAAGTTCTAGAGACGCATTGAAGGGTAGAGCGAACTGATTGATTGATATGTGGGGTTTAACGTCTCAAAACCACTATATGATTATGAGAGACGCCGTAGTGGAGGGCTCCGGAAATTTCGACCACCTGGGGTTCTTTAACGTGCACCCAAATCTGAGCACACGGGCCTACAACATTTCCGCCTCCATCGGAAATGCAGCCGCCGCAGCCGGGATTTGAACCCGCGACCTGCGGGTCAGCAGCCGAGTGCCTTAGCCACTAGACCACCGCGGCGGGGCCAGAGCGAACTGATGCTTTTGCTTATGTCTGGACTGTTAATCAGGCTGGCAGATCACTGCAGTGACAGTTTATGGTTAAAAAAAGATCTATCTGCAGTGGTGACACCATGCTTGTTAGTTTAAATTGGTCACTGCTTGGTTCAATGTATACAGCGCAATATATACAGCCAATCAAACTATGAACTGTAGTTGACGCGTAGAATCACAGTAAGTGTAACTGGTCGGTAAGGATTCATCGTAAAAAAAAAAATGTGTGCAAAACCAGACACCAGGGACTAGATGACACAAATGTAGACTATCAACAATCAATGTATAGTATTTGGCATTTAGCCTACTTTTTTTTGTACACCTTGACTTTTACTTCATGAAGTTGCCTTGTCACTCAAGGCACATGTTATTTTCCTTTATCTTTTCTACCTACAAAAAAAAAATCAATTTCACTGTGTTGACTGGCTGTTTATTCACATGTGGTCTGGTCAGTGCTAACTTGCGGGGAACATAGAAATGGAATGGGGCTAAGGGCTTCTGGCCGAGGCAAATGCCAGTTCTGCTTAAAAATAGCTAGGCTCTGAGAGAAAAACTGAAGCAATTTTGGAGTGTTGTGGAAGTTTTACGCAAGAACATGTATGCCTTATACTACAGCAAATAAATATTAACCCTTCAAGGATCGCATTTTTTTCACTAATGCGACCCCATGGAAATTTAAGATCGTCAGAGTTGAAAAAAAAACTACCCCACAATTTTTATGAGCCATAAAGCAGATAGTGTTTTTTACAAATATAGGTGCTTTGCTTGTTCGTCGGCAAAATATCCTGATTGGAATAAATCTCTTTAAAAAAATGTACTTGCTAGATACTATCGCCTTTGTGCTGCACAGGCTGATAATTGATGAATATGTTGCAATTTGGCATTTCCGAATCAAAGGAAATACTGCTTAACTAAATCAAAGAACAGAAACCAGCATCCACAACCATGGTATTTTAACTGTGTATGGGAGCACTCAAGAAAAGTGGGGTTTTTCTGAAGGGAGCGATAGTGAGAACTTCCACTAGTTCTTTACCTTATTGCCGCTTATGGGATATTAGTTCTCAAGGTTCTAAAGAAACAAGAAACGTAGACATTAGCATCATTTGTACACGTTTGTATAGTTTGCATGTTTCAATACCGAACTGTAAGTACAGTGTACACCACTTGTAACATAAGTCCTTATAGTGCAGAACCGGTTCCTATGCGGTCTTTTTCAACTCAAATACACGCTCCCATGAAACCCCATATATACACATATGGCTTATTGTGCAGTCCCCCTATATGAAAGACCAGTTACAATGCGGTTGCTGGAAAATTTTTGTAACAAACACGGTAGCGAGTGCGTGCCTGACAGGAGGCGGGCTGGGAGTGCCACTACGAAGCGAGCAACGAGGTCGTTAAAGAAGTCGTCGTGCCTTACTCTTCAGATATGCAAAACCAGCACTCCCAGTCTGCCATTCTTACATCCAAGATTTAAAGGGGTCACGACTGAAATAACTACATATCGATAAGCACAAGTTATGTAATGCAGTACTTTGAAACTTAATACACAACTCTTGTTGATATGCCAATATTCTGTTTGTGTTGACAGAATAGGTGGGAAGCATATGCCACAACCTTCGATTCAGTCTAAAATGCAATTTCTTTCTTCAGAGTACTTCAGAGGTTTTGGAGATTTCGTCCAAGCACATTGGGCTAGTAGACAGTTCCAAGGGTTATTTAAAGACAAACTTGAGCTCTCTGCGTAAACTGTGTAATTTATTACAATGCTTTAAAGCTGCGAATCACTGCAGACCGCCACAGATCGGTGTAAATTGTTGTCTCTGGCAAACGCGTTTTCAATCGCCCATTCACAAAGCAACGTGCTGTGGCCTTGTAAAGAACACTTGACGAGGCCAGAGCACATGAGCAGTCACGTCAGTTTCAGGGTCCCTTTAACTTTGTGTGTAGGTACTATCGCCTGCGAAAATTTTCAGGACCTTGGATCCACAACGAATGCTAATTTCTGCTATATCCGTGTGTAATGCTTGTAATCAAGCTGGTGGCTGTATAGGTCGGAATGCCAAGAGCAGTATGGAACATTTATTTCGAAATTACATTCCCAGACAAAACGGGAATTCAGCTTCATCGAACATTTTACTGTTGATAGTACATGTGTGTGTGTGCAGGCAGACTTGAGGTTTGGTAGTATGTCTTTTTTTTTTCACAGTACGACTAACCTACTGATCCTGTTATGCATTTTATTTGTAACTTGAACATGTTTGTATTATTGTGCCTTGGCACTGATGTGTAGTATACTCACTGTTATAAAAAATGTCTAGATATGCTTTTATTGTTGAAAGTATGAATAGACACATTTCTAACCTTGAACCTATTGATTTTTTAGGACCTACTGGAATTCTCGTCACCTGTAAAGGGCTCTTATTCTCCAGTACGTCCAGAGCCTATTCAAGAGGCAAGTCTTATATCTTCATTGCATAGTCAAAAGGCGGTGTTGTACAGTAAACTGTTGTTAATTTAGATTTCATAGGATCAGAAAAAGTATCAGAATTAACCGTATGCTAAATTATTAGTAGTATATCAAGAAAGCAATCAATTACACCAATGCATGTTCACGTCATTGATGAATTATACTCACTCAAACCTCATTAAACAAAGTTGCATCTTACACAAAACTAAGTTTGTTATATCTGAAAATTAGTTACAAAAGCATATTCCTAACACTATCTATTGCAAGATTATTAATTTACTTTATTATAACTAATAATTCGTTATATCAAGGTTTTAGTGTATAACAAGTACTTATTTTGCTTCAATAGTGTAAAAGCCTCAATTTTCGTCTGATTTTGTTCACAATGTGACCACGTACAATCATGGATGGCGAAAGGGGAACTACTGTTGGCCGTAGCTTTGACCCCAGTCGCTATCATTGGATCATTGAACAAGCCTATGCCGTTCGTATGCACCGAGTAGAATAAACTAAAAAAAAACTAAATGGCCTTGCTACAGCCGCTGCAGCCTTGGTCGCTGACAATGTGAGTGTAGCAAGATGCTGTATGGCGAACCGCGCTTTTCTGAAGGCTCATGGCTGTTTTGTTTTTTTATGAGCATAGCTTTTCCTCATTTGCAGTGATTCATGCTTGACGTGCTCAAAGCATTGTCTAAATTCAGAGTTGTGGCCCAATATGGTTTTTCAGCGTATTTTTTGCCATTAAACAATACATATGCTTGTCAGGACCCAAGAGCATGTCCAAATTATCTGATTTTCGTAGTTTACAGTAGGTGAATTATCGAGCTTTTACTGTAGTCTTTTATTACAGTGCATCCAATATTTACTATGTTTTGCTCTGCGAGAGTCGACTGCACACAATCTCATTACTAGTTCACAAAATATTTGTGGCACAACTGAAAACAAGAAAAACGAAAGAAAATGCAATACTGGCACCCTATCTTCACCTTGTTTGTTCGTTGTTTTCAGTTGTGCCATGAATACATATTTTGTTAAGCTAAGCACGAACATCGCACTCCACATTACTTTATATCGTAATGCGCTAAGTACAGGCCTATTAAAGGAACACAAATGAAATTTCTGTCTAGTTTAATAATCTTCAGCAAGTGTGCCTACTTCCATTTCTGTTACTCTGGTATTACTGGTGTGCTATATTAAATGGAATAGATGGAAGGCACGGGGAGATAATTCTGGGCTATATATTTTCGGCCAGAGTTGTATTCTTTCAATATTCTGATACAATACAGTGCAGTACTGCACATTTTATTTCTTGCTCAGTGCAAAAAAAAATGGTGATTTTCGTGAGTAAAATTTGTTGTGACAGCTGCAGAAGCATTGACACCTCTTTCACATATAAAGAAATCGGTTAGCAGTGATTGGAAATCATTCAGAAAAATTCCATTTACGTGCACGAAGTGGAAAAGAAAGTGCACATCTGACCCATTTTTCAGCTTGTGATGTGTGAAATCGTGGGGTCTCATACCATGGGGCTTCCGCGTAGGGATAGGCCTATGATTTTTCTCTACAAAGTTGGGGCGTTGCCATTTTGCCAATTCCCACGAAGTAACTATAAAGAGACTTTTCTTAGCAAAAACTAAGCACTTTTTCTGGACTTTCTAATCATGCAAAGGGCTTCGGCTCATTAAGTGACCATGGCTTGTATGCTCTTCTTGTGGCACACCGCTTTCGCATTGTGTTACCAGTAGGCTTGTGTGAATATCCGAATGTGCTAGCGCGTCGCTCTTTTCCGCAGTGTCGCTGTCAGCAGAGTTTACCCTAAGGACGACTCCGACGCTGCGCCGCGCACTTGGACCGCGCACCTGCTCGCGATGACGCGCCGCGCTCGTATACCGCGTGCCCGCTCGTAGTAATCTGATCATGCCTCCTCTTACAGCTTTTAACTAAAGTGTAATTATATCGTAAGTGATTGTTGAGCCGTGAACACATCGCAAGAGACAAGAAGACATGCAAGAGACAAGAAGAGAGCAAAGTGGATTAGGGAACAAACGGGGGTTAAGGATATCATAGCTGAAATCAAGAAGAAGAAATGGACATGGGCAGGGCATGTAGCGCGTAGACAGGATAACCGCTGGTCATTAAGGGTAACTGACCGGATTCCCAGAGAAGGGAAGCGGGTTAGGGGGAGACAGAAGGTTAGGTGGGCAGATGAGATTAAGAAGTTTGCGGGTATAAATTGGCAGCAGCAAGCACAGGACCGGGTTAACTGGCGGAACATGGGAGAGGCCTTTGTCCTGCAGTGGACATAGTCAGGCTGATGATGATGATGATGATGATGATGATTATGATTATGATGATGATGATGATGATGATGAACACACCGCAAAGTAGCAATTTTCCAGAGCCATGTCTTCACGACTCAGATGCAGCAGACGACGATCTCCCGGAGCGAGCATAGAGCCAATGGCGAGACAAGCTGAGGCAACATAGTGGCCACAGCCAATCATGGGCCTCGAAACGACTTTCAAATATTTGGTTTTTGTACACTTGTTTTTAAAGGGAGGAGCCAGCGGAGTCAGAAAATATAAACACGGAGCAATTCTTTCGGATGAGCCCAAGGAGCCGGCTCCCGGCCGCGCCATCGCGAAGTTATGTTTTGAAAATCGCAGTTTTCTTGCGATTTTCAGAAATATTTTTGTTGCCTAAGACGGTGAAATGAATTTTTCGAAGCAATTCTGCGTGATTTTCAGTGTAGATATTTTGGAATCTGATAGAAAAAGGGGTTCCGGAAACTGAAGACTTTATTTTCAAAAAATCAATTTTTCTCGCCATTTTTCACGATACCAAAGTCACGTCCCCCCTTGAACGCCAACTGGAACGAAATTTTACCTAGGCAGAAGGCTCAGAATGCGTAACATATGTTGGGTAAACATTGATAATGAGAGTGAAAAGGCTTGAAATCCCGTATTTCATTTATAATCTTTGCTCTAATTGTCGGCGAGCAGACGACACTGAGCTCTAGCGGTGTGCCAAGGCAAATCGAGCACAAATAGAAACGATGTCAATTACAGCTCACCGCCGCTCGTGAGCAGACCTCCCTGCAGCCGCATCCTTTCTTTTTCTGTGTGATGCACCTCTACGAGTGGATAATTTAGAGGATATAACTATTTTGTAATATGAAATGCGGGGTGTAGTGGTCTGGAACATACGTTGCGGCTGGGGACCAGCTTTCATGCTTTTTCGAGGAACATGAAGCTCCAAAACCTGCGGGTTATCAGAGTGAGCTTAAAGGAATGGGATGTATCGAAGAGCATCGTGCTTCATGCAGTGAAGACGAATATAAGCACCACCGGTGTCTCTCCGCCAAAATACTGTTGAAACTGAAAAGAATATTTAATCCTGACGCAGTGCCTTCAGTATTCAGCCACAGCAAACACAACAGCAGGAAGCCCCAACCGGAGTTTGGAGAAAGGCCAGCGACGACACTTACTCGTATAGACAGCTTCAGTATTGCGTAAAAATGGCTGCGTTAGTTCATTATGTTTGCATGAATTACAGCATTATGCCACTTAAAAAAAAAGATAAAACGACGCTTCACGAAGTGCTAGACTAGCTGTGCCTTCTGTGATGGTGTACTCAAAGTTTCAAAAGCTGATCGGCTCGCTTCTAGTTGCGAGTTGTCAAAGCAGTGAAGTTCGACAGAAATGTTATTGGGCTCAGTTCACAGCAATTTAATCCCATAAACGTAATATAATAAAACTGATTGTGCTATAATAGGTCTGATGTAAAATGTTTGGCCGCAGTCAAACAAGTGTTAAAAAAAAAAAAAATGCAGGGATGCTTTTGGTAGACATGGGAGTGTGTGAAAACCAGCATCAGTATTGAAAAGAACACCGTCTTATCTGTAGTCTATCAAAGAAGCAAGAATATCTGAACTGTAAGCGAGCGGCATCATTCATTGTAAACCAGTGACTTCACCAAGACAGCAGCACAAGGCGGTAGGTGCGAAGCGCGCAGCCGTTGTTTAGTTGCACACTTTAACGAGTTTTTGCGATGATGTATCCTTCATGGTCCAATTTTATAGTTTTTTTTGTTATTTAAAGAGAAAACTCTGGAGTGCGGCCGCGAGGGGCATACTTCAAAATGCAGAGCAGATGATTCACCTGCATCGGTCTTTCGAGCTGCTGTCTACCTCACTTTCGGTCAGCTGTCATGGCGTCGTTTTTTCTAGTTTCAGTATCGAAAGTTGCGCTGTTGGTGAGTGTTTTTGTTGGGTAACTACTTGCATTTAGAAGGTGAAATTTGGCAGGCACTATTGTCTCCAGCTAGACTGCCTATAAATCGGCTTTTTGGGGTGTGCACAATTTCGTTGCAGTTAAAAGCATGTAACCTTTTGTAAAGATGGTTCCACTGCAGTGTAGGGATGCTAAGCCGTGAAAGTACATCTCCAGGAGAAATATGATTCGCTGTGAAGCCTCACTTCAACTTTGAAAGGGCCTTGCAACACTTTTCGAGCATGGTCAGAAAACGCTGCCTCAGAAAACGCTCAATGCACAGAGCCGTGCTCCCGTAAGGGGCAAAGGCTGTAGAAGATAGTGCCTTTTTCCTTTTCTTCAACCACAAACCCAGTGATGGCTTTCTTTTTATTCCCTCTCTCTCTCCGCACGCGGCGCGGTGTTGGAAGGAGGAGGGTCTTTATGTGGCAGGGACGGAAAAGGGAGAAGCGTGACACGGGCGCGTCGCAGATCGGCATTTGAGAGAGAGCAAAAATTCCACTGCAGCCTTTTCTTTCCTTTTCATTTCCTTCGCGGGCAGGGTTTAGGTGTCGCAGGTGCTGCTGGGGATTGGGTGGGGAGCTGAGAGCATTTTCGGAGCGCGGTATGTTCGAATTAACCATCGGAAGTGCTTGGGCGTTCGAATTACCGGCCGTTTTCGCCCATTGGAATACACATAGCTCTGACGGGACCTCATCGCGAGTTCAAATTAAC